ATCATCCAATCGGCCAATCAGCGGGAGAAGAGGTCAGAATGGAGCAGATGACAGAGGAGGTTGCGGCCATCTTGCTTCATTGAAGACGCGATGGAGGTCGTGTGTGCGGCGGATTCGGGTCCCTGAAGATGGCGGACGCGGCACAGGTACTCGTTTTATGTATCGGAGTATTTGCACGAGTACGAGTACTCATGCAAATACTCGATATCGCCGCCGATACCGATGCTTGTATCGGTATCGGTGCATCCCTAATTACAATCATACAAAGAATATCGTTATTGAAAAATGATACCATGTATCCGTATCATACCATGTAGTGGAGTTTTGGGGTGTCAGTGGAAAATACATAGTAACACAGTAGGTAAGGTTGAATAAAGACAAGGTTCCATCCAGTTAAACCTATGTGCAGGGCTTGAAAAATCCACTCGTCTGTGACGAGAGGACGGTGGAGCCCGACGAGCAGCTTTCCGGCCGGCTGTTGTAATTACACGGCCGGACGGGAGCTTTACAGTCAAGCGATCGAGCGTCTCTAGAGACGCTCCATCGCTTGTATCAGCAGCTGTCACTGCCGTTGCCGGTCCCGAGATCCGCTGTGCCCGATGCAGCCGGGACCGGCACGGCTCTGTGACAGGAGAATCAAAGGGAGTTCAGTACACGAACTCCCTTTGATCTCCTCTCAGTCCCCGAATGCAGGAAGTGATGTATATTACATCACTTCCTGCATTCAGTGTCACTCTCCAGCTAGAGAAGCTGATGAAGCTTCATCAGCTTCTCTGGGGGTCCCTAGGTGACATTAGGGGTCTTGGAGACCCCTGATGTCTCCATAAAGAGGACCTGTCATGTAAATTGGCTATCCCATAGGGGGCTTCTTAGCCCCCCATGTAATAGCAATAAAGTTGTGTGTGTAAAAAAAAAAAAGTAATACAAAAATGAAAGATTCATTAAAAAAAATAAAGAAGCATAACATTTATTTCTTTTTAAACATTTTTTTAAAGTCCCCGCCCCCCAACATACACACGCATATATGCGTCAGGTGCGCCTACATGCCGCACATGTTGCATATTGCCGCAAACGTCGGAGTGAGAGCAATAATTTTAGAGCCATTAAGGCCGGGTTCACACCTGGGTGTTTTACAGCGCTGATCGACGCGCTGTAAAACGCCCAGCAAATGAAATCCCATTATTTCCTATGGGCATGGTTCTCACTTGGGCATATTTCAGTGTGTCGGAACGTGCTGAACCTCCGCTCCGAACCTCCAGCGCTGACTGGCGGAACGGATGGGGGAGGGGCAGGTACAGCTGGCTCTGCCTCTAGATAGGGATACGCTTCAGGTGCGGCGGCTCCG